ACCTGAGAGTAGATAAAAATGAGATTTCTTCCTCTGATTCGGAGTAGTATGTGTGAGAGAGTACGCCTGTGCTTAAGTTGACTGTATCGTGTCAACTTGTTGTTTCGATATTGGAGATGGATGCGGTAGTCGCTAGTTGAAGAGAAAACATAAGCCCAATAACTACTAGCGATTAATATCAAAAATTTTGTATTCATTCATTCAAGGCAGTATCGCAAAGATGGAGATCATTTGCCAAACCGTCCAAGTCTTCCGAATCGTCCTCTCTTATCTGCAAACTGTCCAGTAAGGAAACCTCCAGACCGAACTTTGTATCATCATCAAGCAGTACTTCCCCTTTATCTTCTTCATTACTGGTGACTTCTGAATGATCTGTTGTGGTCGCGTGCTCTGCCAGTCGCTTCGGATTCGACAAGCACGCCTTCGCTCTCTTGGTCTTATGGCCGTAAAGCCCACAAAATTTACACTGTATACTTTGCTTTGACTGCTTTTGCTTTCCGACCATGGCAATGGCCCTCTTATATTCCTTTCCATTCGCTCTATCCTCTGCGAGCTTTTCGAAATAGAGCTTAATCTTGTGGTAGTTCTTTTCTTGACATTGCTTCTTGTTCTTGAAGTTCCTGATCCTGCAATCGATATGGCCTTGCCCCTCTACCTTTCGAATCCTGTGTAGCGTCAAGTCATCCATTTCCAAACCCAATCGCTGGAATAGCCGTTGATAGAAACCATCGAAACCCATTGATTGGATGCAAATGGCTGTACAGATTCTGTTGCGCAAGGATACCGATCCACAGTAAGTTTTGTTCTTGGGAGCGAGCCAGCTGATTGTGTTGTTTGCGTGATGCATGGGGATTTGTATCATACCCATGACAAACCTCTCTCATCGCTTCGATTGTTGTAAATGGTTGCATCACATCTTTCAACAGGTCATACAGGTCCTTGTCTTTTACCATGTCACGGTAGACTTTCGTTGATTGTTCTTCTCCCTCGGTTCTGCTTTTTCGAAGCACCAATCGCGCACAGCTTGTCCTGACTTGTCCGAACAGGTGGTCCAAGCAACACTCAGCTCTCTCGACCCATTCCTCCTCTTCAAACTTCAAGTTTTTGCGCACCATGTAAATATAGAACCGAGACAACCGGATGATGTCACCTTCTTGAAGGCCTTTGATCACATCTCTTTTTCTTCTTCAACTTGTACAGAACAGTCTTCAGACTTTTCTTCCGATGAGCCGGATCTGCCAGGAAGGTTGGTGGTGGAATTGGATATTGAAGATATCCTTCTTTTCTCTTGACCCATTTCCCTCGACTGTCACGGCGAAGGTTGATGTCAGTTCGATTCTCGTGTTTCATCCAATCCTTGTTGGACCATCGACAACTTGCCCTCATGGTACTGTCATCATCAGTTATAACTTCCTCCACCAGCACGTTGAACTTATTCCACAGGTCATGAATCATATCAAGAAGTGCATTCGACTCCATGGCACCTGCTGTTCCAACGTGATTGACCGTGCAGATGTGCTCCGGTGGATCATTGCCTTTGGCACGGTGCCAGCTGCAGATGGAGCAATGAGTGGACTTTGTACTCAGAGCAATCAGCAACCTTGACTTCGCCCCAAACAAACATGCATGCCCAAAATGAGAATCGTAAGTTCGACCGCTACCCTTTCGGCCATACCATATACATCCACACGGAAAACTCATGCACACCTTACGGCATCGCCTGCCCACCGAAGTCTTTCCAGAGTGGGACCCGCGAATCATGTACTCCCCAGTCAATCCACTTCCTTCAACAGTGGCTGAATTTCCTGTTATCTCTCGACGGTGAAGATGCAGCGCCCACAACGCAATTCATTCATTTGTTCGATTGCACGGGAACAGAAAGAAGGAACCCTACTGCTTCTGGACCATCCCCACCCAACAAAGGCTACACAAACTGGAAGTTCAGCTCATAACACGTCAGTGCTTCCACGGGCGTGCTCTTGCAATGTCTGGCCACATCACCCCCATTCGCTCATGAACAAGTTACCAATAACCGATATGGAAGCAAACACACAAAGTGAAAATAATTTCACTCTACTCTTACTGCAGCTGAAAGGAGGGATGTTCCTCTCATAAAGTTCTGAATGGCCCTTCCTCGAGATTGATAAATACAGGCGCGTGTCCCGACTTGGCAGATGGTTAGTTCAACTACTCCTTGGTTGTTACTTATAATGATTCTTCCTTGCTTTCACCAACGTTCGCTCAGCACTGAAAGGGATCACATCCATGCGACCGCTTCTGCTGGTAGCTGGAGGACAACGTCGGGGTATTGAAAGTCTATTCCCTCCACTTTTGTCACTTTGGTGTGGCTAGTCAAACCGGGTGGAAAGAATGTCCAATCTCCACGATTACGCTCCCTATCTCGTCTGTGGAAGGAAGACAATTGCTTGTGAGTCTCCTTCACCTCTGGAGAAGCACCTGCCTGCCTTCTGCTGAGCCTCTTTGCACTGACAGCCATGGTAAGATACCCTGTTATTTGGTTTGTTCTATGAGGAAGATCTAACCTTTGTATCTATCTTTCTCATTACAGACGACAGAACAACCACGTACTGATGAAGCTAAATTAATTAGATGAAAGTTAGATCCATCCTCGAGATTCCTTTCAGAGGCAGACTTCTCCAAATCGATGCACCCCCCATCCCCGCAAAATAAGCTGCATTGGGGGTGGGGGTGGGGTTCGAATTGGCACTTTCTGCCTCTGCGCGCCGGACTGTGGGATACATCGTTAACCAGAACCACGATTTGAGCAGTTTTTAAACCTGAGCAAAAACCGTCGGACGGTCCAGCTTCCCATGTGCAACGGCTGTTGTGCCTGAAACTGTACATGTAGACTAGTCTAGCTAGCTAGCTAGCTAGCTCCGACCGCATGAGCTCGGGATGTTGCATGTGGCTAAACTTGTCGGTACATGTGTGGTACAGTCGTAGCCAGTTGAGCTGCAAAAGAATAAGAGGTTCTGTACCGGTACCGTACACGTGTACGACTCAACCTGGGGAAATCAAATCGTGCGAGAGGTGATCATTGCCTCATCAGGCAAGCAAGAAGAAGAGGATAGGAAGCCAAGTCAAGAAGGGAGACAGTCAATCATCTTATATAGTTAGAGTAAGAACGGTGGAAGACATCGGAACGGTATCCACGCAGGTCGTGAGAGAGTGGCAGAACTTTCCGTTGATATCACTGGTGGCTGCTTGCACCGAAGTGAATTTGAAATCATACTCAAACTACAGCATAACCATAAACAAAACAATCATGACTGCAAAGAAGAAGGACAGCGGCAGCAAGGATGTGTCTGACATGTTCCTGCTCAACACAAATTTCGAAGCTTGGACATGTGATCAATTGGCAGAGTATTTCAAGCAGAAAACGGGTGATCTGGGCGGTGACTATTCGGAGTTGATTTTCAATCACAAGATTGACGGCAAAATTGCCCACCGGCTCAAAGAATCGGACCTGAAAGACATGGGAATTTCCAATGTGGGAGATCGTCTACGAATCATGCAGGAGATTGAGAAGATTGAAAAAGCGTACGAGCAAAAGAAGAGAGAGCAAGTGGTCTGGGAAGGAAAGGAGGTCCTCTTCTTCAACTGGTGGGATCGGGCTCTCAGCACTTGCTGTGGCTGTTTTCCGGAGGATGCCAGCACCTACAAACTGACAGGGGCTCATCTTGTCATCAAGACTGTCAATCCACTCCGTTGCGGACCTATCCGTTGCTGTTTTGGTACCAAGTACACCATTGACAATGTCGATCTTTCCAACGTGACAGATGTGGATGTTAAGGGGGTTCCTCCCAGCTGCTGCCAGCAGTGCTGTTGCGGGGCCACTCAGGAACATGTCTTTGTCAAGACCAATGCCGAGGCCACAAAAGTTTTGAAACTCACCAAGGAAGAAGGATCGAGTGTGTCACGGAAAATCCTCAACCAAGTGGAATTGATGCAGCGCATGGAGCGATCATGATGCAACAATGAACAGCTGATTGAGATTGAACAGCGTAAGCTACATGTACATGTAGTAAGGTGCATCTGAATGCCGATGCGATCATGTTATAATTTGTACTTCTTCTATCAATGCAAAATCTGAGAAAGGATTTGCTTTGGCAGTACAACTCGGAGAGAGTTTTCTCTCAATTTTTATGCATAGTGTCTACCAGGTACCCGTGACAAGTGCTAGCTATTGGAAGGTATTTACTGCGACCCTCTTTTGGCTTTCAGCCTCGAGTGGAGAATCGGCGCTGCTCTTTCGACACGAATTCATGAGAAGAATGGAAGCTTGGTGCTGCAACGTTGGATCAATTACTTCAGGTTGTTTTTCGTGCAGGACAGAACGCTTTCAGTCAGTGCTTCATTGGTTGGTTCACTCCAATGATCGGAAATTTAGTCGGCTCGGGGAATGCTCTGCTCTTGGCCCGGATGTAGGATCTGCATGGTGATGCTGGGTCCAAATGTTGGCTAAACCGCTGGTACCGGTAGGCCTTGAGGTTGGCCCAGTACGGTAGGGGAGTGTTGGGAATAAGGCCTCGTAAGGGTCCAGGGCTACTAGCAACCGGTACCACATACTGCACCTGGTAGAAACCAAGAAGATCCTTCATGGGACACACTGAAACAAGCACAAGATGCCATTGGATGGCATCATCTGTTAAAGGGGAGAATCTCTAAACAATTCAGTCAGGAACAAGACCGATATTTGAACATGAAAAAGACCGCAACCAAACGCAACAATGGACTCACATGGCTCACTGGACTCATTGACATTATCTATAAAGAATGGTGGAAACTCTGGGACATGCGCAACCAAGACAGACATGGGCACGACATGAGAACCAAGTCACAAGCAAAGAAAGCACAAGCAATCCGACAACTCACTCAGTTCTACGAAGCATACCAGCAAGAAGTCCCCGAACATTTGGAATGGCTATTCCAGATACCACTCGAATCGCGCCTGCAACTGAATACACCAGTCATCATTCAATTTTTGAACACATGGGAACCTGTGTTACAAGAGAGTCACTACACCACAGCCCTGGAAACAGGATAGTCGGACATTCCTACCATCCCTTTTTCCTTACCCCTCCTACCCCCTCACACTTCTTTACCAACCCCAACTCTCTTCAACAAAGAGCTCGTGATTTGTGGTGAATCATGGCTCCAACCTCAGTGTACAAATCCTTAGATAGCTAACAGGCGTCGCACCCTCTCAGGAGGCCAGTGTGGCCGGTGAGCAGACTTGACTGTGGGAAATACCCGAGCCTTAGCTCGTGGGTAGTCCTCAAGCACATCTCGTCTGAATCCGTTATTAGACGTTCAGTTTTTTTTTGCACCTGGTAGAAACGAGACAACAAATCTGACTGTATTATTAGTAGATTCTTTTGGAAAGCTTGCGGGTACCGTAGCCCACTTCTGCGCTTCATCTTGGTCTCTTCTGGAAACTTTGCCCTTTCTACGTCCAGTACATTACTACCGATTTTGTTTGGCGGACTTTTTGTGCTTCCTGCAGAGCTAACTGGCTCCTCTACTAGCCAGCCGTACGTAGGAAAGGGGCCCGAAGTCATACTAGCTACCATGCTGGGGTACATTGATACGTAGTAGGTGCCTCGTGTTGGGGGATGGATCAAAGATTCGATTCGCGGTACCGGTACCGGACGCACTTGCCACGAGTGAGTACTACAGCTGTGGTCCAGAAGAGGTAGCTGCGGTAAACCGTTGTAATATTATGATTATTGAATATCCTATAGTTACCCTAGCTACCAGCTGCTAGCTCTTCAAGTGGCCAGAATAGCTGCCAGAATACTGGTACAATCCCTACCATATGCATAGTTCGCATTCGCTTTCGTGGTCATTTGTGGTGACGTGTTTTCGTGAAACAGCTGTATGACTTTTGAAAATCGCACACACTCTTTGGTTCTCATTTTTTCAAAAGAGTGTCTCCCAAACAACTACAAGCACTTGCCTAGCCAGCTAGAGACCATGCAGTTCAAACAATTGGTGTATGACAATGTGGTTCTTGGAGGACACAAAGGATGCTTCGTGCTGAAGGCCAGGGGCTTCAGATTCAACCCTCAAGGCATTGATACTGACGTCCTTCGGTTCAGGTGGACAGAGGTGAAACAGGTCATGTCCAAGAGAAGTGAAAAAAGTGGCAAGTGTCTGCTTCGAATTCAGCTCGAGAAAGATGAGGATAAGCTGACATTCACCGTGGCAGACCGGACAGTATTGCTACAAATGAAGAGACAAGTGCAGGACATGATAGCACTCCATTCTCAGACCAAGCATGACGATGACATCGCTCAAGACCAAAATGGGTTGGAAAGATCAAAATTTGACTCCGATTTGTCAGTAACAAGTGATACCAGCTGCAGCGACAGTGGCAGAGCCGACGAACAGCCAACTTTGAGCAAAATCGAGGACTGTGGCAATATGAATGCCAATTCTCGGCATCGCAATTTGGCTAAACACAAACAAGGTCAAAGCAATCCAGAGATTCCCACTTCAGTGGTATTGGAAGAGGACAAGAGAACCAATGCTTCTCCCCCCAAGAGACAGTTCTTTTCGAACACCCAGAGGTCAAATCGAGATTCTTTTCGACCAAAAGGAACGCGGAAGTTCGTTTTTACCGCCGAATGATTCACAATCGGTCAGTTCCAAAATAATGCTGCTTCAGAAAAGAAGAAAAACAATGAAATCATAGAATTGAAACACCCAGACCTAACTAGATCTGAGTAAAGCAACATAATGAAACTACGAAACTACTATTCTATCTAGAGTAGCCAGTGTTGACCCAATGGTGTCCTGTACCAAAGACGAGTTTATTATGCTGTTAGAGGGGACTATGGATGGTCTCCAGGATCGATCCGTAGTGGAACCAGTCTAACGAACCGCTCCCAGCAGCAGACCAAACAAGTGGAGCCAGCGATGGTAGCCGATGGTACCGGTGGTGGTAAGCGTTTTTTCCACCACCACTTACTTGGTACGGTAGACTCAATGGCCATCTAGGGTATTTGGCATCTAGCTAGCTAGAAGTACGAGAGGAGCTGACAGCGTACAGCTCAGCGTACCGTGTACTAGTGCTAGTACGTCGTACCATACTGTACCTGTAAAGCCATCAGTGGCTACTTGAGTACATGTAGATCTAGATGATGCCAGCAAGATCACCAGTGTTCACTGGTTACTTCCCACTTCCGACTGGAGAATACTGTACGGTAGTACAATACTCGCCCCCAGCCAAGCAGATAGGGTCAAGGGGAAAGGTCACAGTTACAACTCAGTCAGGAGCATCCAAGACTCAGTGGAAGAAGCAACCTGGCGAGTCATTGACCAGGTGGACTTCTCAGAGACGGGAAGAATTCGCGTGTTCGTGCTTAAATCCTTGGTGTGTCAAAACCATGGCACGTAGAACAGCAGCTTGCCCAGTGAAACCCTTCAGCGATATCGGAACCTCACTTGGCAGGTCGCCGATTAGAGCGTCAGGCACGGCAAAGGCCTGATCGATCTTCTTTGGAACTTGAATGAGTACAGTTTGACCCATTATGGCACCCAGTTTTTCCTCTCGGTGCGCGTAGACTTCGCAACTGAACTTCAAGCAGACACGGGTCTTGGCCCAGAACTTGAATAAACCACAACAAACATCCTCCTTAACAAGTACGAAACTAGTCTTACCTGAAGTGTCCAAATCCTTGGTTACTATCAACACCCCCATTTCCACTACCACCGTCTTAGACGGGACTGAGTCGGCAGTGGCGGGGAGTGCTTGCCCAAAGGTAAGCGGCTGGAAGCATATCATCGTCAATTGGCGATGGATGTCCCTGAATTTCTTGCAAGTAGTCAAGTGGTCAGAGAGTGATCAACCTCACTTGTTCAACTTGGTTGGCCTGCAGGTTTGTCTTTGATAGTAGCTTTTGGATCTTCTTCTACAGGAAGAATGAGTCTGTT